TTGATTTGTTGTCATTACGTGACGTGGATGGGAATACACTTGTATGATGACCTCGTGATGAAGTGGCTTATTGTGGTCGAATTTATCAAGGCAGTTTTGAGGTGCATTGAATGTTTTTTTGCTACGACACGGTTACAAACTACCGCATCTTCACTGCCATTCTGCCTTCCACTTTACCAGTTTAATGCAAGCGCTTCTCCGTAGAATCTTGTTTATCCATCTATCGAAAAGAACCCCTTTAAGAAGATTATCTGCAAGTCAAGTAGACCATTTCCTGGTAAACTCCATCGACTGATGAGAATCACAAGGCTTTCTCGCGCGACCCAGAGGGCTATTGAATACACAGATTAAGTACGGTACGCGTTTTCAGTTTGAGCGAGCGTCGAAGATGGAGTCTGTAGTAACGGGATCGAGCAGTCTCAAGACTATGGAAACTCTTTATCCTATAACACATGGCCGTCAAACAGAAATTGCAGAGTCGGACCTTAATAAGATCTTCACAACCACGGCTGCTTCATTGTCCCTAACCGGAACACTTGTGATCTTCATTACTTTCATAATGTGGCCTGATTTAAGAACGAACTCACGCAAAATGATCGTGTTCATATCAATCGGTGATTTCTTCGTTGCTCTCTTTAACATTATCGGTATTTATAACCCGCCTGTGGACAATTCGATGTGCAAAATCCAGCCAGTCGTTACAAATGTGGCGGTTCTGTCATCGTTCTTGTGGACTTTGAATTTGTCGTTTTACTTTTACCTAACTATCTGCCGAAAAATCTCCGTCGAATATGAAAGGCGAATTATGCAGTTACTTCACCTCGTAGGGTGGGTAATTCCTATCTTGATCGCGTTTATCGCCTTCACTGCGGGCGCATATGGATTTTCCAAAAATGTAGGCACTTCTGGATGGTGCTGGATTTCGGGCAATCAAGAATGGTGGAAAGTTGTCATGTGGATGTTTATTACAGGAAAAGGCTGGGAGATAATATCTTATATTTGCATCATTTATTTTTATTTGTTGGTCATACTGCAGATCAGACGAGAGGTATGTTCGAGACTGATACACCTTTTCCGGTTTCACTCTTCTTAACTGATCTGTAATTCACAAAGAGAAACAAAAGAAATTTGTACCCCGTGAAAGGGAGTTTGGATCATGGATACATTAAAAATTTGACAAATGCTTTAGTTTCTCCTCCTTTTGGCGAAAAAATCCCTTATCAAACACCGGTTCATTACTGCGCATGATTTCACGCGTGATTAGCGCACGCTCGTAAAACATGGAGGCCTTTGGCCTTTGCCTTGAGGCTAAAGCTTCCCAGAGAGGTAAATCTTCATTTTCTCTTAAACAAGTATGGTGAACTATCTATATGATTATCTTTCCCTCCCTCTTTTCTTTTAAAATGATCAGTGATGTTTTTTCTCTTGAATAAAAATAGACTAATTCTCAGTGCAGAAAACTAAACAATTGTCGGATGCGTGTTCAAAGCATGCACTCGTAAACATAATCTTATTGGTATTTTAAGGAATTATTTCGTATATACAGGATGCTTGTTGCCCCTAAATGAGAATGGGGACCCCCATTTTATTTCAAAATTTAAACTTGTATTACATAAACAACCAATCGGCAATGTTAGACAAAAATCTCACTGCAGGTTCTATTTTGGAGGAATGACCTTAGTTAAGAGTGTGCCGTTAACTCCACAGTGACCTCACAAGACTCAGCTCTCTCTCAACAGATTGTCATCTTTGAAAGTGTGCTTTGTACAGGTTTTGTGTTCGTGTCTTAGTGGTAACTTGCATTAAATGTAGACATGGATTCTGTGAATAGTAGCTGATTAAGACTGAGGGAGGTACTTATTATTACCATATTATACATTTCTCTTAGTACCGTTATCACTGTTAAGGGGCAGGAGTACTAAACAGGTTTTTGTTAGAAGAAGCTCCACAAACCACCCTTTTTATTAGAGCTTTTATCTCTTACCTTAATGTTTATTTTTTTTATTTTTTACCTCGTGACCTTTAGGTGAGACTAGGATTCATTCCAGGTGGCGATTTTCTCACACCGAAGGCTCTCGAAGTAATAAAAAGAGCAGAACGCAAATTGACCTTCATTCCCATGGTATTCATTTTCCTGCGTATCTGGGGAACCATACGATTTTTTCGTTTCTTGTATTATCACCCTGAAGACCCACCAGCAATAGAGGTTCTTGTTTTCCTTCATGTAAGTAGAATCATTACATACACTATGAAAGTTGGTTTTATGGCCATATTTGGGAGCAAAGTTTTATACTTTTTAACAAAACTCATCGATGGAACAGGGACAAGATAGTCTCCCACGCAGCCGTTTTTGTCTCGTCACGCAAGTGCGTACAATGTCTGTCGGTCTTGTCTCGTCCTCTCCGCTCTTGTTTGGTCGAGCTTTGCGTGACAAGTAGCCTAGCCTGCGTAGCAAGCGTTTCCGAGAGTCAAAGACCGCGCGAGAAATGGGGCGAGTAGAAGAGCGGGGAAGGGGTGGGGAAGAAAGGAAGGAAACGTTTGCAGACAAACCCCTAGCCTGCAAATACAGCCGTTTCTCCTTGCTCCTTGCTGCTTGGGACGTTTTGCCAGGAGGAACGTCTGCGCCTCAGCGACAAAAATGCCATATTAATTCAAAAAATTAAGAGAAAAGATTGAAAAAATTCTCTTGACTTTAGATTCTTTGAATAAATTTATGGAGATCAATGTTCAAATTTGCATTGTACAGTTCACCCTTTCATTCCGAAACCGCTGAGTTATCGTGGGAGGGTTTGATTCTTTTAACAAAATCCTATGTTCCTATCCGAATAAAACGTCTTTTCCAGGACCTTTTTATGGTACTATTATTCTCTTTCTGACTGAGAATTCAGTATGAAAAGAAATGTACAATTTTTTGTGAATTTTCTGCGGTTGATTCTCGGACGTCATTACGCAGGGAAACCGTTGGTGCTGTCGCAAAATGTCGGCTGTTTCTTTTCTGCAGTTTGTCCACTATAAGGGATGGAAAGGTTGAGGATGCAGAACTCCATGATATATAATTATTTTATGTTACTTCTTTTCAGGGCATCGGGGACAGCAGTCAAGGCTTTGCCAATTTTGTTCTGTTTTGCTTACTCACTGATCACGTCAGAAAAAAATTCAGACTTTGTTGTGTGCGGTTTACACCATGGTATCACTATCTGGAGAAGGATCCACTGTTTGAGAGCACAAACTTTCCACTGAATGAAACAACGGACTTTAGTTCAAACTCTTATGGAGCGGGCGATATCCTGTCTGTTTATTCAATGGATGACTGACTGTTTATTTGCAGACTTTCTTAAAGTAAATAGCATCCGTTATCGTAGTTGCTAGCAACTATGGTTTGAGACTCTGGTTGTTACCAGTTACATGGGCAAACCGGTTGGTCCACGGTTTGGGTAAATGGTATAAGCAAAATTCAGGACTGGCATCTGATTATTTCGTCACAAAATCGCGATTACCACTGATCTGCACAAATCAGTTCTATTTACCGAAAAACAGCCGCGAAAGCGTAAAACTGGTATCAAAGATGGCTTTGAAGAATCCGTTTGGAACATTCCGACCAGGAAACCAAGACTGCCTTTTCAGATGGTCCGTCGCTCCCGAAAATTTTCCACTGAAAGGCCCGAAAAGTTCTGTTCCATTGTTCCTTCCAACCAGATTTTCCCGGAAACTTTTGCAAATGGTAAAAAACCTCTAAGTCCAGTTATGTTAGCGGGTGACATTTACTGATCTGTAGATAAAATTTGACATAGACCAATTTATTTTCATCTTTGTGATCTTTTTCATTCGCAAGACTAAATAGACAAACAGGACTTAAGTTAGTAGAAGAGCCTCTGGCTCTTGGTTAGTAATATCGTAAAAGGTAACCTGAGAAAAGAGACGACATTTCGGGACGCCACCAGTGGTTTCCCCTCAAAATGACGTCTCAGAGAACAGTGCAGAAATTCCGGCATACTGATGACGCGTCACTACCCAGATCTGGATACTGTTTCTGATTGTTCGTGCTGCGTGTTGAAATTTGCGTCAAATCAAATCTTCAAAGGCTGCAATGTTAATGAAACTGGCAGGGCTTTAGCGATTCATTATTAACTAAATGCTTTCAAAGTTTTTTTAAAACTTGTTATTTTTGCACTTTTTCATCATATTATGATTAGCCTTTAATTCATCTTCTTATACAGTCATTGTGCTCACCATCTGTTTAATCATTGGCTAAGAGCCTACAGTTAATTTTGGAAATTAGCGCGACCTACAAAGTTATAGCTATCTGCTAACATTAACTAACTAATTTATAGGTAGCATGTGTAATGCATGATAAAACAATATATCTTGGTCCCAGATGATAACACTTACCTCGATCTTGATTATTCCAGATATCATAAAAACTGCCTCACCCATTAATTAGTAACAACCATTTAAGGTGGCTCGATACAGTTTTTCAGGGCCAATACCTCCCAATTTTGAGCATAAACTACGTCGCCATAAACAAAGTTTTGGAAAAATTGCCACCACAGTTGTATTAGATAAAGATGAAAATTTGTTATGATCAGGGTTGCAACGGCATCGGAGTTGTCATAGCGACGAAATGACGCTATTACCTATTTTACTGGCAGCAGTGTATCTCGGCACTGAGAACTGTTCTTCCAAAATCGTCCACGGCAGCTTTTTCCTCCAATAGCAGCCTCGATGTTCGTGAAGTTTAAGCGAAATCTGTAAGAGCGTTATCGAGATATTTTGGGATGAAGTTTTTATGATTAGAAACACAGCAAAAAATGGACAATATTGTTGTTTGGCCGTTATCTGTAGAAAATGAAGCGCTTTTGACATGCAATTTCACCTGATGGTAGTTTCAATCTTTTTAAAACGTGTTTGAAGGATCATGGAGATAGCTCCAGCCGATTGCTAGAAAGAAGGGTTTTATTAGTATGTATGTTTAGGTCATGTGATAATATTCTAAAGAACTGTTTCTTTCAAATTTCGTCTTATTCAAGTGCATATGTACGCATAATTTATGAAAAGACAAAGGGTCAAGTTCCCCTGGGACCTCTATTGGGAAAACAAAGAAGTCAAGAGAAGTCTATTGCAAACGCACCCCCTGTTGACCACCAGAAGTGGAATAAACCAACCTAAGGGTTCAGTAATGTCAAGTATAAGAAAACTAATGTGAGCTTGGCAACTAAAAACACATAAGGGTCTAACTTACAACAAGATAGTAACATTGATGTAGGTAAAACGGAGTAACAATCAAGGTCAGCTACAATCCACGTGCCCACTTCAAGCGGGGGCACCCAACAAACGAATCTTTAAAAACCGGTCAGAAATGTCTAAAGTTTGTTTCATTAGTTTGGAGCTGCCCTAAAGACTACCTATCTGTTCAGAAGTTTTAGGGGAACTTTGGCCGTCTCTACATCTACATCTACATCTACATCTAGACATAAAATTTAAGTCGTCTAGTAACAAAGAGAAATACCCATCAATGCAAGACATAGTTTGGGCTACCACTGCGGGTTTTCTCGAAACTGCAAGGACACGAAATAACCATACTTTCATTAGAAAATGTTACTGAAGGTACGTATTTTCTTTGAACCGAAATTTTCAAGTGACCTTTTTTCACTCTTTTGAAACAATCACCAAATCTTGGAAATGAAATGTGCAAAATCCACTTCCGAAAATCGAAGGGAAGTTAAAGGGAAAACGCACTCCTAATGGCTTCGGTGGGTAAATGGAACGGTTATCCAAAAATGTTTACCTTTTCTTACGCTATAGAAATTTCTAGGCAATATCTGCGCCGTTAGACAGATATTTTGGGGATATGTTACAGAAAACTGTCGCTCACTCAAATTTAATAAAAGCCATTTTTGTTGAAAAACTCCTTAAAAAGGTAATAAAATTAAAAAACTTGTCGATACAAATATGGATCAACCTTGATCTCGAGTGAAACTACAAGTGCAAACAAGAAATGAACTTGACACAACCTTCAAAATACTTCACAGCACAATCAAAGGAAACATAATTTTTGCTAAATGTCCCCCAGGTGAGGCATTTGTTTAAAATTTTTGAGTTGCACTATGAATTTGTTGTTGTACGAATCTGCCCCCACCGTTCCGTCCGTTTACAGCTCTCCGACAAATGCCCGGCGGGGATGGGCCACAGCACAGCTGTAACTTTCTCTTCCTCGAGACTTGAATTGCTTGCAGGCTAATAGAAACTGAAAAGAACGACCTTTGGATAACTTTAGGGGTACTCGGCACTTTCCGCGGTTTTCTCGGTTGGAGCACCCTGGTCTACCCCAAGTGGACCGGATCGGAGATCTTTCGTCCAAATAGAGTATCTGAAAATTTCGATCTTAATTTGCCCGTAAGTTAAACCCAACATCTAATAGGAATAGGAGTCAAGAGAATCCGTCGTTCGTTGCTTTATATCTTGACGTAGCCTACGTAGCAAGCATTTCCGCAGGCGTTTATAATAGTTATTGCTATCGCTATAAGGTGCCAACGAGCAAAGATTTTATCTATACGCGCGCACTGTTCAATTTGTTTAGAAAAGTAATGGATTACCGTAATTTACGAAAAATAGTTTGAACTCGATTCGATTGCATAAGCAACAGTTACCTTGAAAATAGCGAACTAAACTGTTCTACTGCATAACGAATTTGAAATCCCAACTTTAGATAGTATATTTTTCGCGATATTGAAATTCGTGTTTTTATCTGAACTTGCAGCCAGGTCACAGGTCCACGAGTATTCAACGTACAGATTTATCTTTGATCCCTTTTTTAAGCTAGGGAAGTCTTCTTTTGCGGAAAAAACGATTTATGGTGCCCCGATGAAGCTTTCCGAATTATTTTGCTTCAAAGACACCATAAATTTTGCGGCGTCATTATCTTTTTTAGCGGCATAAACAGGCAGTATACTTCGGTAAAACATTTTGAAGTCAATTTGATTGTATGACCGAAAATTATCTTGAAAATGGTGAACTAAACTGTTCCACTGCATAAAGAATTTGAAATACTGACTTTACATAGCATATTTTTCTTACTACTTTGTTCTGCATTTCGTCACACTTCCTTATGTTACATCGCTTCGAGATTCATTCTTCCTTGAAACTTTCGCGCACGGCTTTATTATGCTGCCGCCTCTTCGTGAGGCTGCTCGTTGGTAATAAGTCGAGAAAGTTGGAACTAGAGCAAAAAAGAGGAATGAAGTTGGGGAAGGGAGAGAAGTTTCCTCCTTCCCCCCTCCCCTCTTCCCCCTTCAATCTTCCAGTTTCTTTCGCTTTCGTTCCAACTTCCTAGCCTGCGTCGCACAGGCTCTCTCTCCTCCTCAGAGGCTCCCGCTGGGAGGAGGGAAAAGGCCTCTATTCTCTCTTCCCCCTTCCCATCGTTCACCGCGCACTCTCTTATTCTTTCTCACCAGCCTCCCCACAACAAAAAGAGGCCTCTGCGGAGGAGAGAGGAACAGGCTA